GTGCTGGGGAGAAACCGCGATGGAGCCATCTCAAGAGGGCAGAGTTTCAGCAACACAACTACCTTTGGTTTAAAACAGCAAAGCGATGGCTAGAGGGGGCAGGAAGGCCCCCCTCCCCCAGTCTGGAAGCCCCCCCCCAGTTTGTTCAATACAGTCAAAGACAAAACTTCCTCCCTCCCCCCTTCCTGTGCCCCACAGCCCTTTGTAAAACTGGGGTGAGGCTAGGGAGGAGAGAGAAAAGCAAACAGGTACTCCTGTACAAAGGGATTCAAAGGACAATCCTTTAGCCTTTCTCTCTTGTGCCTGTGTGTAAACAAAACGCCAAACTTCCCTCTCCATCCCAAAGGTGGCCTTTTTTTAGCCCAAAAGTTGGATGACTTTTTCTCCACACACACCCCCCCCCCATGGCTCCTTTCCTCCTCTGCATTCCAGGCTAGCTCCTGACCGGGCCCCCTTGGCCTGCAGGAAAACATCTGGAAAACATCTGGCTCCAATTAGTGGAGGAGGAGGAGGAGGGATGGCCTATTTTTATCATGCCAGGAAGGAGGGAGAAAAGGAAGGGAAAGGAAGAGAAGGAGGGGGAGAAGAGAAGAGAGGAGAGGAGGGAGAGAGGAAGGAATTACGTACAAAATAAAACATGAGAGTTTGGTTGGGGATGACTTGTTTGCAGGAGGGATCCGTGCCTCTTTATATATTCATGCGTCCCTCCCTCTTTACTTCTGAGCTCAGCCAGACTTCTCTTTCCCCTTCTCGGGAGGAGGGAAGGGACAGGAGCACAGCTTCTCTGAGAGGAGGTGCGGAGGGTGCCCGATGGGGAGGGGGCTGCAGTGTGGGCCAAGCATCCCGGCCCCCCCTTCACCACAACTTCCTCAGATGAAGCCAAGGGAATCTGCAAGGCCATGGTGGGGGGGGGGGATGGGGAGAGTGGCATGATCAGAGCGGAGGAGCGTGGGAAGGCCGTCCTTTCCCACAGACCGAAGGGTCAGCAAGATCCCCTCTGTTGTACGTGTCTGTCTGTGTGTCAGGGATGGAGAGATGTGGCACAAAAGACTCCCCCCCCAAACCCCCCAGGGCAGGGACACCGGGGGGGGGGCTTTCTCAAGGAAAGCTCAGATGGCTTCCGTCTCCGGGATGACTTAACGGGTGGGAACGAGGGAAGGGAAAGGTGGCACGAGAGGAGGAAAGCAGGAGTGAGAGCTTTCAAAAAGGAAATGTGGGAGACCTTTTCTTGTCAGGCTCTCAAGCCTTCCTCACCCGCCCCGTCCTCCTCCTCCTCCTCCTACCTCCCAACCTCCCCGGGCATGGAGGCCCCCCCTGGAGGAAAACGTCACCGAAGCGCCTCAGCTGGAAGGGCTGCTCTGAAGCACAGGCAAGCGCAGGAGGAGACGGGAAGGGGATCCGCTTTATAAAAGATAAGGCACGGTTCTACACAATGGCTTCTATCTGTCCGTTACAAACTACGGGCCTCCTGGAGGCAACGAGGCCGCAAAGCAAAAAGGGGTACCGCGGGGTTTGTGGTGGGAAGGGGGGAGAGATGCCTGTGAGAGCGCCAGCATCTTCCGCCCTCTGAGCCCCTCTTCCTGGTCAAGGCCTGGCCTCCGCTTTATAAAAGATAAGGCACGGTTCTACACAATGGCTTCTATCTGTCCGTTACAAACTACGGGCCTCCTGGAGGCAACGAGGCCGCAAAGCAAAAAGGGGTACCGCGGGGTTTGTGGTGGGAAGGGGGGAGAGATGCCTGTGAGAGCGCCAGCATCTTCCGCCCTCTGAGCCCCTCTTCCTGGTCAAGGCCTGGCCTGGCCACACGTTGACTGCCCCCCCAAATCACCCGCCGTGGCCAAACCCACAAAATGTCTTGGCAGGAGGCAAGACGAGGAGCACCAGAGGGAAGGCTGGTCCCTGTGAGCAGCTACGCTGCGGGGCGGGTATCATCCTGCACCCAAAGAGACCCACCCTGGCCTTGGGAAGGGCAAGGAGGATGACCAGCGGAGGGCTTCTGGACAGAGAGGGGTGGCTGAGGGGGAGGCCACCTTCTGCCCATCTTGGAAGATGTAAACATCCCCTGCCAGGAAGGCCAGGGGAAGAGCGGGGTGGATCCTCGCTTCCCAGAGGGCTGCTGGGTCTATGAGAAGGGCCCCCCCCCTCCTGGCAGGGGAGGAGAAGAAGCACCTGCAGCTTGCTGCTATGGGGCCCTCCCTGCACAAAGGCAGTGGGTCTGCCCCCCCCCGGCCCTTTTAGAGGCACCTGAGTAGACATGGAAGGGAGGGCCACATCATCTCCCCCCCCCCAAAACCCCGAGCACCAGGGAGGGACGGGCTTCTGGCCGAAGCAGCGCCGGGCCAAGGGCTCTTCCCAGCTGCCTCTCTAAACCTGGGGATGGTCCATTTTCTTTCGTCACTCCCGCCCCCATGGACAGTTCTGCTGGACCTGGGGCCTCTCTGGCCCCTGACGGCTCCTCAGGAGTCGGCAACAGGCACTAGAGCTCCCTGAACCCGGCGGTGGTGGTGGTGGATCGTGGCCATTGTTCCTACCCATGGCCAAGGGCAGGCATGGGCTCCCTCTCTCCTCCGCCCGGGGACAACCAGGGCATCCGAGAATCACGTCAGCAGGAGCGGAGGAGAGGAGAGGACGCCCCTCGCGCTCCCTGTCTCTTCCAAAAATTGAGCCGAGTGCGAGTCTCTGGGAGGGGGGGCCTTGTGGCTGGTTGTGTACAGCCATTTTCAGTGGCCCTATGGTCGGTCTCTTCTCTCATCTCCTCACTCCCCCCTCTAATAAAACAGCTGCCCCGGAATTGGTGTGAGGCAGGTCCTGCGAAGGGTCTTAGGCGCTGCTGCCCAGCTGGCACCAAGACCTACCGGTCCCGACAGCTGCCTGTCCTGCCTGGCGGGCAGGGAAGCGGGCTGGTCAATAATAGTGGACTCTGCTGAGGGTGCCCGTCCCCGTCCCCAGGATGTCCGGCTGCCCGTTGCGCCAGATCTCCCGCAGGATCCGCTCGCGCTCCTCCAGCCGCTGGGCGCGCTCCAGCTCCTCAGCCGAGGCAAAGACGTTGACCGTGAGCGTCCCGTCGGGGGTGCTGTGGGGCTCCAGAGGCGACAGCTCGGTCAAGGCCAGGGGGGGCTCCGACGCGCTTGGGTCCACGGTGTCTTCCTCCTCCTCGTCCTCCTCCTCTTCCTCCTCTTCGTCGTCTTCCTCTTCCTCACTCAAGTCCCGTGGCCTCTTGCGGGGTCTGTGGCGGATGGTGCGAGGCTGCCACGAGATGTGGATGACCAGCAGGCACAGGGTCAGCACCAGCCCGAAGCAGACGCCCAGCACAAAGTAGAGCCCAAAGCTCTCCGGGTGGTCTAGGCAAGGACGGCAGGGAGAAGGTCAGAAAAAGGGGTTCGGGAACTGGCGTTCAACCAACAGCAGAAAGGAGGCAGAGACGAGTTTTGCTTTCCCCGGCATTTTAAAGGGATTCTCTGAAGAGACTGAAATGGTTGCAATAGCATCCTGTGGCACAGTACTTTTTTTTGTTATTTGTAAAGGCCTTGGGAGGCGGCCACTGCAGATTCATGATCAATACTGCCTTCTATTGCACCTTCGCCCCAGAAGACTTTGCCACAGCAACACCCCCACCCCAGCCAGTGACTCCCTCGGTCTGGAACCTCTGGCTTTGGGGACCTCAAGGCCACCCTAGGAGGCTGCGTTCGCTTTTTAAAAGCAGGATGGAGCCAACGGGATGGTTTTGGGTCGAGTGCGGATGCCAAGTTTCAATTTTGACTGCCTAGCGGGGGTCATCTTATGCTCCTCTGCCCCCCCCCCAAAACCTCCCTGTGGTGCCAGGCGGTGAAACAGCCCCTTCCACCGAGCGGGCTTTCTAGCTCCGCTCCTCCCTGCCTATGTTTACTCACCCCGGATGTGTGCATAGGCTGCGATGCTGTTGCTCAGGAGCTCCATCTCCTGCTCGTGCGTCTCCATAGCGACTCCCCTCCTGTTATCCCTAGGAGATGAAGGAGTTGCCATCATCAGCACCACCGGGGAATGTTCAAAGAGGCAGCTGCCTTTGTCCATCTTAGTACATCTAGCTGGACTTTGTTCCTTATTAGACTTTCTGACCGGATCCTGATTCGGCTGCTTTCTGCTGAGATCTCCCTTTAAAATCCTTCCCTTCTGTTGCAACTAACTAGTGGGATAAACCGGGACCGGGACATCTTGGCACACGCTTGTGTTTATTTTAGCAACCTGGATTCCTCAGCCACCTTCTGTATCCAGTCAAAAGGCTGCTTTCATTTTCACCAAAGCTCTGATCTCAGCGCAATCACTGAAGCTCTGACTGTTACGTATTTGTCTATAGACAGTTAACATTAGCCAACTATTATACATAATTGCCAGGACCAGGCAATTAACGCTATGAATAATAAGGTTAAATAACTCAGTTGTCATCTTCTGCAACTTGTGAGCTCAGTTCTGGGACCAATGACAGTTTGCTGAGTTGAGATTACACGTCACCTGAGCTACTCTTTTGCTCTCTCGCTTGGCAAGATCAAAGCAACTCCTGCAAACCTCGAAGGCTGCCCGGCTGATTTGTTAGCAGGCGAGTTCTCCAAACGGGGGAAAAGCAGCAGAGCATCCTTCCCCTTCAAGAAGGGAAGCCCGGCCCTCCTCCAGTCAGCCGGTTTGCCTCCTCCTCCTCCTCCCCCCCCCCGGCCATTTCCACACTCAGATAAATACGTAGAACTGGAGACCTTTAGTGGAAATAACACTCCTTGGCTGTGTCCAGTTTTGAACCCAGAGCTCTCCTCAAAGGGATAAATACATTTGAGCAGTCACTTCAAGAGCAGCACTGGAGAAATGGACCCAAACCAAATTCCCCCTTTGTTTTCACAAATGGAACTGAAATGCTGGAAAGCAAGCATTCAAAGGAGTGTTCCTGCCTCGGTGGGAGGCCCCAAATAATTTCACTCTGGCACCCGGCAAAAATGGGCTGTTCCTTCCCAGACCCTCAGGGCTCGTCTTAGGACGCCTGGACAGGCGGCCAAATCAAGCCGGGCAAACCTTGTGACTCTCACCCCCACAACCCCCCCTCTGACTGCCCTCTCGGCGTAGGCAAAAGGCAGAAAAGCACAAGCACACCCCACACCCCACAGCCGGCACCAGGTCAGAGGCCGAGAAAGCAGCGGCTGCCACCCCTTACTGCTTTCTCTAGGCTCACCCCATCCCCACCCCACGCTTACGAAACCCTTCAAACTCTCCCCCCCACCGGGTTGCCTGTTGGTCTTCTCAGCCAGCCTGCAGAACTGAGAGAAGGGGAGAGCCGGAGGGGAAAAGCCGGAGGCGAAAGGGCGATTCCCGGCCGGGTTTTCCTGGGCTGAGGCCTGACCTCCTTCCTCCTGGATGTTGCCCCTGTCAAGCCACAGATCCCCACCTTCTTTCAGGCACTGCCTGCGGATCATCCCGGGAATGGAGAGAGGGGACCGTTTTTTTCCTGCTGCTCATTTCCTGCCACCTTCGGGGAGGGATTCATCCTGAGCGGAGGAAAGCCATCCGGCTGCCCATTCGAGAGCGGACACTTCCTTTTCCTCTGCCCCTCCCCACCCGTCCCCACAACGTCTATTTATGGCAGGCCCACGGATGACAGAGGAGGCGGATGACCCAAAAGGGCCTTGCAGGCAGGCAGGCAGGCAGGCAGGGAGGTGGGGTGGCCCGGGTCTGGCTAGCTGGGGGTCCAGCAGCATCTCAGAGGGAAAAAAGCAGGTTTCGCACAGGCTCAGGCCTTGTGCTCGGTATGGCCTTAATGGTCACTCCCTTAGGACACAACTTGCTCCCATCCCTGGAGCCCCATCAGCACCGTGGGGGCGTTTGTGAGGTGGGCAAAGAAGGCATTGGCCAAAGGTTGGCCAGCCAACAGGGACCGACGGGCCTTTTCCAGCTTCCCTGGAGGCTCAGCGTCAGCACTGAGCCCTGGGACCTCCAAACGCCCACGTCGGCCCCGGCTCCAGCACAAGAAGGCCTTTCTCTCCCTGCTAACCACAACTCCCACCCGTGCGGCTGGAGGAAGTGGGGGCTGCAGGTGGGGCCAGGAACCGGGCTGCCGGCTGGACAGGGGAGGTTTCTGCGCCTGCCGGAGGGGGTGACTCCGCTCGGGGAGTTTCCCAACAGGACGAGAACCAGGCACTTTCGGACCAGGGGCAGCTTCCTTCGCTGGAAAAGCTGCTACGTCTGGGGAAGGGGAGTGGACACACGTGGGCAGCTCATGCCTATAGGGTGGCCAGCGGTCCTCCTCTGGAGACCGAAGTCCTCCTTTTGAGTCCTCCTTTTGAAGGCCTGACACACACACGACCAGCGTCCTCTGCTTGAAGGGGGGGGGTCCTGTCCAAATCAGAGTGAAAGATACATTAAAACACACACACACACACACACACACACACACAAAAGGAGGGAGGTCAAAGACTTGGAGGTCACCAGCCAGAAGCGGCAAAAGCCCCCCAGCACGGACCCGGCTGCAGTCCCCCCCCCCGTGTAATTCTCCAGGCTGCAACTCCAAAAGCCTTTTCTAGTTTTGCCTCAGGGCACAGAAGTGAGCATGTGAGGCCAGCCGGCACCCCCTTCTCCCCTCCTATTTGGTGATGGTGGGTCCACAGCCACCCTCTCATGCCTTAAGGAGTAAGTGAGCTGCAAAGGTGCCCCAAGGCCCCTTTGTCGTTCGGGGTGTGCAGGGGGAGCAGAGAGTTTGCAGGCCAGCTTCGAGGGAGCGTCCTTCCTCGTGTTTTCTGTCCAGCCGGGAGGAGCTGCTTCGGCTCCAGCGCCCTTGGACCCGGCCTCCCTCCTCTCTTGCTGGCTGTCCTGCTGCCTCTCCTCTGCACCCATCTGGAATTGCGAAGCTTCACAGGAGAACAGAGAGCAAAGAGGAGGAGAGAGCCTGGCCGGAAATGGAAGGGCCCCCGAAGGAAAAGCAAAACCTGAGGAATGTGTCTGCGGCTGCTTCTGCAAGGCAGGGGTGAAGCGTGAAAGACGCACGGGCTGTCCGTGGTCCCCCCCCCCCGTGGCTGAGCAACCGGTCCCATTGCTGACGCTGGCCCAATGGCTCTGTGGGGAGGGGTGGAGGGGGCACATGCTTGCTGCTGGTCTTTTGGGTTGCTCATCAGGCTTATGCAAGGCACATCCCCCCCACCCCTGTGCTCCTCGGAGGGCCTAGCCTCCCGCTCCCTTCTCCTGACCCTTCCTAGGAGAGCAAACAAGGGGGGGGGGCGTCACCGCCTCTGCCGAAGACAAGAACTGGGCATGGCTGACTCTCACACACACCTGGGCGCACCTCCGTGGAGAGACCCTTCGTAACAGAAAGCAGCGTTTCTGGGGGAGGGGGAGCAGGAGAGGCCTTCTAGAAAAGCGACCCACCGAGGGCTCCCGTTCACACACCTCAGCGGCTGATCAGAATGCAAAGGGGCGACAGGGGCTGGGCCAGCCGGCCCTTCTCCCCCCCCAGAGCCCAGGTCCTTCTTTTTCACTGTGAAAAAAAGAGGAGCCATCATTTGGAAACAAGCCTCCATCCCCCAGGACTTCCTGGTGGGCTTTGGTGGGTGGCTGCAGAGAAGGGGATGATGATCAGAGGAAGCAGGGGTGGGGGTGGGGAGGAAAGGAATTTGCAAGGGAGCAACGCGCCCCAGAGGGATGGATGGCCACGGATGACCTGGCAGCACCAGGCCTTTATTCGCCAGTACAGGCACACGCATGCGTGCGCGTGCACTCTCTCTCTCTCTCTCTCTCTCTCTCTCTCTCTCTCTCTCTCTCTCCCACAGACACACACACACACAAGGTCAGCCTGCCTATTGGAAACCATCCTGGCCAGGGCAACTTTTGGGTGTGGAGGGGGGAAGAGAAGGGCCAGTTTAAAAAGTTTCTGCTGTGCCAGCTTAACAGCCCAGGGGACATTGGCTGGCCGCTGGACTGTTGCAACAGGGAATCCAGGAGGGTGCAGGAATGTGTGTGCTTACACGTAGGGAGGGAGGGAACAGCAAAGCCACCGATCCAGCCCAGCCTCAGAGAGGGTTTTCAGGGTGCAGCCTTTGCAACAGGCTCGCTAGGAAGGCAAGAGTAACCGAAACATGCAGAGTGCATTTCTCGCACAGGCCTTGTGTGCTTGGAGAAGGCTTGGGCATATCCTGAGCCCTGCCTCCCTCAGCAGCTTTCATCCTTCCCAAAGGAGAAGAGACCCCACCTGGCGCGCACACACTCCCACCCCCTTCTCACGCGGGGGAGGCCTCCCTTCAAGGGCGGAGGGAGTTGCCCCAGCCTCTCTGGGAGGTGGAGAAGCCCAGCCAGAGGCAGGGAGCAGAGAAGTGAACCTCTCAGGGCCTTGCTTTTAAACTGGGTGTGTGTGTGTGTGTGTTCGGCCCCACAATCAAGGGAGAAAGTTCCTTTAGGGACTAAGAGGATTTCCTTCCCCTTCCCCCCCCCCCCCGGGTGGGGGACACACTTCTGTGGGGAGATCCAGCCTTGACGGGAGAGCCGGACTAGGGTGACCCTCTTCAGATGGGGTACTTCCTTTCCAGAGAGGATGGCAAAGGCAGCCACCGAGCCCGGCCTTCATCCCCCCCCCCAAAGGTGTGCCCATTCCGGTGGACATTCTGACCTCAGGGAGGGGCGGGGGGGGGGTTGCGACCAAGCCTATAACAAGTGTGCCTCTGCCCTTGAGTGCGGCTGCAAAAGGTCCCATGTGCACAAACGCCCACCCAAGTCGGCTGTCCGGATCCCACCCGGCCAGGTCACCTCCTAACCAGGCCGGGGGGCGATGGAGGAGGAGAAGGAGCCTCGTGGACCGGGCCGTTGACTGAATCCGGGGCCGGGAGAAGCCCAGGCCCCTCGGGCGACGCTGCTTCCCCTGCCCAGGCACCTTTGCCCCCCCCGGGGGGCTTTGGCTGGTCTGGGGGGGCAGGGGGCTACAAGCCAGTCGCAAACTCCCTTTGGGGGGGCCTGGTACCCAGAGGGCTGCCTGGAGGCTCCTCTTGCCCGCCTCCCTCCAGGGACACCCCCCCCCGATGGAGCGCAGCGAAAGGCGGTGGCGCAGCTGGGCGCTGGGGAGGGAGGAAGGGAAGAAGAATT